TACAAACACCCACTCACACTTACGAATATTAATTAATGTATGTTACAACATACATAGACTGCTGAAGATCTACAATTTTAATGAAATTTGTTTTATATCATGATACTCAGAAATATGTATACACAAATATATATATATATATATATCTATTTACTTGTGTGTGTGTGTGTTTGTATTTATTTGAGATAAAGATAACATATATAATACACTATACGTTGTTTGCAGTTGAAAATATCATTTCACACATGCGAACTAAAGTGATATAAATCTGTTATCTGTTCTTCACTTGTCTTTTGCTTTATATCATATTACTTACTCACTTTACTCATATCATAATATCATAATATCGCATGCAGTCATATCTGTTTCACTGAGTTTTATTCTAAATTTTATTCTAAGCTAAAGAATAAGCCAGCAAATTTAGCAAGTCAGTCAGGCAGGCAATCTGACTATTCATTGTTCTCAAACAGGTTTTCCGGATTTGTGAAGTTTCGCAGATTTGTGAAGTTATTTTGATCTAATTGATTTCCCATGAATGCAATTAAATTTATATTAAATTCAAATGCAATGTTAATTACATTCTGTCAGTATATTTTCCTATCTATACTAGCTTGATTTTCAAATCAAAATTTTAATTATTTCCAGGAAACATTTAAACTCCAACAAAACAACATTTCGAATGTCAAATTTTAAAAAAATTACTCACAAATAACGTCCAAATCGATCATCGCAAACCAATCCCACTGACACGTAATCAATTAGGCAATCAATTATGTTTAAACAGCCGACGGCACCAACGATCATTAATGTTTGATGACGTAATTAATAAGCTCCCGTGTGACCGACATTCAACCGCACACCGTGTCCTATCTATCAAATTTGAAACACTTTATTTATCTATGACGTTATCTTTGTTAATCATTTCGTTACTGTAACGTCGTGGGCGATATTAAAAGAAACTCGCGCTCACTTCGAAGTCCAATCCTAACCACGTTTTCAGGTCTAATCACCGGTTAGGACTCTTAATTATTCCCCCACGTTGCTAAATTTAACTTTAAAAGATTAAATTAAGTGAAAGCGTGATTTTTTTTGCTAAATTTAGTCTCATTTAAATGCGAAGTTGCGTCTAATAGGTATTAGTAACTCTTCTAAGGCCTTCTAACTGGCAGGCTGACAGCTCCTTTTGTGTTAAAATTAAAAATGTGATGTAACAATCACGATTATTTATTTCTGCACGTGTTGGTTTCTTTAACTATTTTTAATTTTTATTAGTTATAGTTATAAATAATATTTATTTATTTATTTGTTTGTTATAGAAAATTATGAATAGATGATTTATTATTATATAATTATTTGGTTTTACTTACAATTTACTTATAATTTATTATAAATAATAACTTATTTTAAATTTAAGCTATTTAATTAAAAATTATATCATCATGTGTTTAGTAATGTTTATCATATGATGATGATATTTATAAATAGTCATTATCATTTTGACATGCCTCCTAGAATGAGTCCTAGAACCTATACTATCAAAATGCTGATTAAAGATTTTGAAATTGTATTGTATTGCATTGTATTAGCTCAGCATTCTACAATATGAACCAACACACATATCTACCTTAATATCTGTATGTTTGTATGCAAACCTTGCATACAAACATAGTACATTACTTGAGTGATCATCTATTTTATGGCATACCTAGGTACATACAGACATACATTTGTATGGTTATAGTGGTATATGGTTTTTTTCTATATAATATAACATAATATACATTATGTATTAAACTATATATCTACATAAATATATATATATATACATAATTACATACAAATACATTTGTGTGCATGTTATATACAGAGCAGAATCACTATGATCTTTTTATTATATGTATAACAACAACACATGATCAATGAAATAGTAAATGTATGTGTGTGTGTATGTGTGACCTTTATTTGCTATAAATGAGTTGTTAAGTTGTTAGAAGTTTATATTCTGTCAAGCCTGGCACTTTTTTTGGTTTGGAATACATTAAAAAATTTAGAATTTAGTTATTTGTTTAGTGTGTGTGTAGCTAAGAGCAGAGATCAACCTATTTAGAATTATTAGTCTGTGGTGTAAAATTGTTAAATTATTCATACATACACATATATATATAATTTATATTTGATTTGTAGTGAATCAAGTTAATTAACATTAATTATCTATAATTAATTACTCTAATAATTAAATGATTTGCAGGTTTAAAGATTAGGACATTACAATATAAATTCACAAGCGGAGTTGCATTAGATTAGACTTTGAATACTGTGTGTAAATAACATTATATATAACTTTATTTATAACTAAAAACAGCTGAAAAAAAATACATTTGATCTGTCCATTTTGTCTTAGTTATAATAATAGTTATTGATAATTAACTATTTTACATAAAAATAATTTAAAAAAGAAAGAAAATAAATTATTTTTTTTTCTTGATCAGTTAGTTAGTGATCACTGTAACGTTTGTTTTGTGTCTGCTGTTTGTAAAAAAAAATCTAACTCTTATTTCACTCAGCAACTGGTGAAGCTTCAATTTAGTACACCTCTGTTTTGTTGACTGAATTAGGATTAGGGAAGTTTGTAGATCAGTTAGTACTGCTGTGGCCTGCTGAGATTGATTGACAGGTTGATATACTTGCCAGGGATGTGTAAATCCTTTCCTGATTTTGTCTCCTTATTGTTAGATGCAGCAGCAACTGTTGATAAAAGTAAGGTTTTTTTTGTTGTATGTAAACTATTTGTTATGCTGTTGTAATTAATTTAATAATTAAATTTTTTATTATTAATTAATAATTAAATTAATTAATTTTATTTCCTGGAGTTTTATTAATACAGATTTGGATGAAAATAGATTAAATTTATTCTATTCACTGACTAGATAGAGTCATAAAAATGTCTGGTTCTGACTTTGGTGTTTTAAAATTTATTAAATGAACAAATATATCACTGGTAACCTAATTATTGTAAGGATTAAAGAATAATAAAGTAAATATGAAAGGTAAAATAAATCAAATAAGCTTTTAAAATGTTATTAAAATTAAATGAAATAAAATAAAAATTAAATTAAAATTTTATGTTCGCTGTTGGTTTGTATACTTTGTATTGTATACTGCTGAATTGTACGTTTTGTTTTGTATTGTATGTTGTTGATTTGTATGCTTTGTATTGTATGGTGTTGGTTTATAGTATGCTTTGTTTTGTATTGTATGTATGGTGATGTTAAATAAGCAGAGGCGTAGTTTGTTTATAAGAATTTTTTTACTTGCCATTTTTATAGGAAAGGAATCTGTTATTTTTTGGGGTTAAGAAGAATTAATTTTATTATTTTTACTTTATTTCTAGTTAAAATGTTTAAAAAATGCTTCATCATATTATTCTCAGTTGCATACATTTAATATTAGATTTTATTAATTAATTAAATAATTAATTAATTAATTTAACAAAACAAATAGTAAATAAAAAACAAATAGATTCAATAATTAAATGATTGAATTCTTAAATGAGTGAATCAATAAAATAACATTAGAGTAGTAGAATAGAATGGAAATGCTTAATTAATTAAATAAATTCAAATTACTACAGATGAGGAACATTGTTATGCGGTCAGGACAACAGCATCCACAGCCCAACAGACCAACGTCTTCAACAACAACCACAACAACAGCAACAACAACAACGAAAGCAGCAATAAAAGATATAGAAACAGATCCAGAAATGTTAAAAAGCAAGACTCTCTCAGGTTATTTATTGTTCTGTGTGTTTGCTGTTTGGTTTGTATGATTTGTATTGTATGCTGTGCTGGTGATTTGTATGTTTTGTTTTGTATTGTATATTGTTGGCTTGTATGTTTTGTATTGTATGGTGTTGGTTTGTATGCTTTGCTTTTTATTGTATGCTGTTGATATTGTGTGGTATCTATAGCATTGTATGTTGTGTTGTTGTATTATTGTATGTTTTGTGCTGTACTGTATGTTGTTGTATATTTGTTGTATATTTTAGTATTGTTTTGTATGATTTTGCACATTGTTTCATTGGTTTGCATGTTGTCTTTTTTTGGTGGTTTGTATGCTTTTTGTATTGTATGTGTGTTTGTGTGTGATTACTGTTGTTGTTGTTGTTGTTGTTGTGTTGTTGTTTAATTGTTAAACATCAGTTAATCATTGTTATTATGGTAATTTTTTTTATGAAAAATTTTATTTATTTATTTAATTTATTCCCAGTAAATAAGATAACATGATGAAATAATTGCCTTAGATGTATAATTTCACATAAAAAATTGTACCCTTAAAATTCTAGAGGTCTTGGTGTTAATTGTGTGTGTGTATGTATGTGTATATGTATGTGTGTATGTGTTAATTGTGTGTGTGTATATGTATGTATTTATCAGTTTGTGTGTGTATATAGCAATGTGTGTATGTATGTGTGTTTATAGCAATTTGTGTGTTTTTTTTCAATTTCAAGGTTAAATATTGAAATAATATTATTTTTTTATTGTTATTTATTATTATTATTAATGTTGTTGTTGTTGTTGTTATTGTTATTATTATTATTATTGTTGTTGTTGTTGTGGTTGTTGTTGTTATTAATGTTATTATTTTGTGATCATTTGTTACAGGAAAAAGCATAATGACATGGAGAAATCCAGGTATGTTTCTTTTATTTTCATTCAGGCACTCATTCATTCGTTCATTCATTCATTCGTCCATTCATTCATTCATCTATTCATTCATTCGTTTGTTCGTTCATTTATTAATTCACTCATTAATGTCCTTTGTAGTTCATTGCTCTCTCAAGTGCAAACGTATTCATACACTATATCAATACATACATACGTACGTACGTACATACATACATACATACATACATACATACATACATACATACATACATACATACATACATACATACATACATACATACATACATACATACATAAATACGTAAAGTCTAG